CTCAAATTTTTCAATTTTTTTGCGTTGTTTTGGCAAAATCATCAATATTTATAGAAAATAATGCATTTCAGACCTAATTTTGCAAGGTTTTGGTATTTTTGTGAGTTGTTGATAACAAATGATCTGGATTTATTGAAAATAACGCATTTTTAAGTAATTTTATAATTTTTTACTGTTTTTTACTAAATTTATGGAAAATACGCATTTTTGCTCTAATTTTGCAATTTGATATTTTGTGTTGTTTAAAAAAACGCTTATATTTATGTAAATAGATAAAAATAACAGGATTTGGTCAATTTTTTTATTGTTTTGACAATTTTTTTTAAAATTTGGTAGAAAACAATCAAACAATCAGTGAAAACAACGCACTTTTTACCCATTTTTGTCTTACTTTAGGAGAGAAACGAAAAAAAACCTATTTTAGTCATAATTTAACAAAATTTTCTATTTTATTTTTGGTAAAATAATTCGTTTAGAAAGTTTGTCACTGAGAAATTTTGCAATTTTTTGTTTGATTTTGGGAAAATAATTCGTATTTTGCGTTTTTTTTTATGAAAAACGAATTGAAAATTAAAGATTTTCAAGACCAGTTTGACAATTTTTTTAACCCGTTTGACATTTTTTTTTAATTTTGTAACATACTTAAATTTACGTAAAATACTCACTTTTTCTCAAAATTTTCATTTTTTTTTCGTCTTTTATCTATTTTTTCCTTAGATGTAGAACACTGAAAAATATTGCATTTGAGTCTTAATTTTTCATTTTTTTGTATTTTAACAAAATATAAGTAGATTTTAACAGTTTATTTCATTAGTTTGTGGGAAATATTTGTATACCTGGTGTACCTTTGAATTATTTTGTTGACAAATCCCTGAAAGGGATTTTAAAATTACCTGGAAAAGGAAATCCCCATGTTGTAACACCAAATAATGTGTTGGTGTGTTGTTTATTTTCCACATTTCTGAGTTTTTTTTTTTAATTAATGTTTACCTACCTGTTTCTACCTGGAATTTAAGTGTAAAATCTTCGTACTTGCTGTGGGATATTTTCAGATGTGTAATAACCAACAAACAGGTAGAGGATTAGTTAAATTTCTTCTACGAAAACTGTTAATCCATCGAAATAACCGCAAATGCTGCATTATTATGGGGACAGGTAAAATGTTGGTTTCATAAAATTTCTTGAATTTAGTGAATTTTTTGTGTGAAAATAACAATCTCTCAACTTTTGTGTATTTTTCGTTTTTTTTTTTTTTATATATTCTTGTCTTCTTTTAGCAAAGAAAAGAAAATGTCCCTGTTTCTCTCTGTTGGAAAATTTTTAAATTTTTAAATTTCTCATTGAATTCTAGAAAACTGACTCTAATTTTGCAATTTTTTATTTTGTTTTGCTAGAAAATGCTTAAATCCATTATATA